CGCTACGATCCAATAGATTCAATCATGCTTTGATTGGATGTTGGATGTAACACGCAATATACTTCATTTCTTATTAGAAAGCTAGAATACTATATATACCCCCCCTCCCCCCCCCCCAAAAAAAAAAATAATTAATGTTTATTTTTTTTTTTATTACGAAAATTAACTACGCCTTGCCGATACTCATTTTCCGCCCACATTTACGTAGCGCTAGCTTCCCTAACGGGATGCCTTAGTTTCAACAGTAAACGTAAATATTTTAAAAAATATGAACGATGTTTTGAAAATTTCAATTAAAAAATGGCGCCCATTTTCACCCGAGCTCGGTAACTGGCGCTATAGAGCTTCCTCTATTTATAGAGGCCTGTAGGTCGCCATTTTCCCATTAAAATGTTCACGAAATCACTAATAAATTTTGAAGAATACGACGGTTCGTACTGAAACTTTGGCATCTGGTTGAGACCGCTAGCGCTCCATTTGGGAAGAAAATGAATTCTCGGCGATGCGAGGCGGTGATGCGGCGGCGATGGTGTAAAAAAAAAAAAACGTAACTTTGTTTTTGGGGCAACCTGTAGATTGTTCCCAGACCCCCGGTAGCAATAGGATGCATGCGCAAAGGCGCCAATGATGTATCTAGTGTCATTATCGCATTCATCGGGATTATCTGCTAAAACCCACTATTAAAGTGGTCATAAAATGAATTCTGGGCCGGGATAAATGAGTTCATATTTTGATTCGACTAATTGCATACCGTTTACCGGGCCAAAAGGAAGACAGCAGAAAGTCAAGAACCCGCTTTTCGTTACGAAAATGTAGGAATATACCGGGCTGTTTCGGGCATTCTTTCCTTCGAATGCTCTCTGCCTTTTCACCGTCATACGTCCGCGGTACCCAAAGTACGAGAGCCGACCCCAGCTCAGGCATTGGACACGAGTACTGCGTCATTCGGACGTAAGCGATCGTCAACAATCAATCCGTCGACGAATATTCGGATTCGCGTTGGTGACCAATGGTACGGCAAAGGCAGTTATCATCGCTTGCGAATCACAAGTTTCATTGTGCGTTTAAAAAACCAGGGTGCAGAATAACAGTCAAGATGATTTAAATACTCAATTAAATCCTGCAGGTTTTCCTATGATGAATTAAATCAAACCTTCCCCGTAAAAATATATCCGAAAATGTTTTTATTTACCGTTTGTTGATCATTTAATGCTTTTCATGTGCATTTGTTTTGTATGTGACTGAAATAATCATTTTGTAAGAAAGATATGTATCGCGCAGAACACGAGAGAAAAGCATTGCTCTTCCGAACAAATCGGATCATTGAGCTTTCTTTCTACCTTCCACTACGATCGTAAGATACCTACCCAGATAACACGCCAGAGAAACGCCCAACCTGGGCGAAATTGTGGCAAACATAAAGGCCTAACTTGGGCCCAGTTGGGTTTTGCTCCATGGCGCTTGTCAGTGCCGAAGTAAGTGCCATACTTGAGACGTAACTGCCCTAGTAAATCCTAATTTGTTGATTTTGGACGGGCCAAACTTTTACATCTCTCTGGTCTTCCACAGGAGTGCCAGCCATAACTGCGTAAGTAGATGCTATTTCGGGATTTGGGGCATGCCAAAGTTTGGCTCTTCTTTGGCTAGCCAATGAAGTGCCAACTAAGTGCCAAAAATGCCAAAGAAAGCCAAGGGTCATGCCGAAGTTGGTAATTTTTATGTTGAAGCTGCTATCGTGAGGTCACAATGGGTGGTGGGGGGGTGATCAAATTGAGTCAGGGCAAGAATAATATCAAGGCGATTTAAATTGTGATTTCATTTGTGATTTAAATTAGCCTTTCACGTTTGCATACGCCATCGAAGAAAAATCCATTCGCAACAGTACCGAACTCGGGTATCTTGGCGTGAATTTGGCGGCAAATTCATTTCTGGTCCAAACAAATCGACTACATGACAGCAAAAGCCGCGCTCGCACTGCTAATCATTCATACGAAATACAGTGTTCAGACAAGGTCTCAGGCTTGTTTCTTACGCGTATCCTGTCACATTACTCCCACGAAAAGTGTCCTTCAGACATGTTCTAAGCACACATAAGTGTGAAGCAAACATGCTTCTGACACGATTGAAGCCTGTCCTCGGGTGTCATCATGCCTGCAGCTAACACTGTGTAAAATGTGTGAGCAGTGTTTCTGCGGCCTAAAGGTGTTGGAGTCGCACATATAGGGTGTTGACCCCGAGACAAGCTATTCCCACCCTCGATGGTGTAAACATTTTTAACGTGCAGGAAAAATTACAAGAATAAAACCCGGTCAATTGCGTGACGACCTTCTGCTTACAGGGCAGTGTGTTGTCACGAGACTTTTGTATGGGCGCACACACGGAGAAGAAAAGCAGACTCTCAAGCATTACGTTTGTACTTTAATGGAGAGCAATTGAACTTGACTCGTGAGTTGGCCAGTGGGCGTCTCAAAGTCGGATTAAAGTATATCTTTGCGCTCGGGGCTGGGCAGAGAAACTCCAAAAAGTATTGTGGAATACAAATACTAAAATACATGCATATTTTATGTAACGGGATATCCCTCAGATACTTCCGCAAAACCGTCAAATATGTATTCCGGAATAGAGATACATGTTTTCTCGCACAGAGGTAGGGGTGAAGGTGCAGTTCGCGGTGAATGCAAATGGTGGTGACTATTCCCATTTTAATGTCCCTTTACTCATCACCACTTACATTACTCTTTTTTTATCTCTTCACAGCCATAATGTTTCAAATGGAGCTAAAAAAACGTTGTCTTCCCCAGTTAACCAACGATTGCTTGTCATACTCGACAAAAAGCCTACGTGACTGACTATTTCCTCCTCTCCACTCACCTCCTTTACAGCGTTTGCTCAGCTTAAGCAGGAAAGGTAGATGGATTCCTGAGAAAACATTATCCCGCTATTTTTTTTTTTTTTTTTAAGTGACCGCTTTCCGCATTACCTGTATTTCCCTTGTTTTCTTTTTTTTATATTGGTTAGTCACTGGGATATATTAGGCAACCAGGCTTCCGCCATGTGGAGAAGGCTATGCGCCGGGTTCATATTACAAATTCTAAAACACCTTGCCGCAAGAAAAAAAAATGGCATCGTATAAAACTGACAGTTCATTTTCGAAAACAAATGTAGATATATAACTAAGCCTGGCAGAGTAACGCAACACAATCAATACACCGTATATGTATTTGACTACCGAAATACAAAAACATTTTTTTAAAGTATCTCAATACAGAGATACAGGTACTCTGACATAGCTCTAAGATACTACCAGCCCTGCATCGCGCTACACATACCCCCGCTCACATTCTTAGCCGGGGTCGCAGAGTGGCACCTCGGAAAATGGTCACAATTGGTTAGCTTTTCTTTAGAAAACTTTATCAATATTCACGTAAGGGAGGACCAAAATAGAGGCGCCCCAAGGAGCAATGGAACGCAATAAAGCGCCGACAAGGTCCTCTTATCTTACATTCCTAATACATACCATCCCGTACAGAGGAGTCAACGCTGACGATGTGCCTAGGCTGATGATTTCCTTTTTTTTCTCTCTCTTTTTTTTTTTTTTTTTTTTTTTGCCAGGTAATGTACTGGGGCTTCGGGAAAGCGCACAACAATAAATAAGTGGCCTGGCTACATGCCAATACTTTAGCATCAGCCTTGTTGGCACCTGACGCGTAAATGTGATTGACTGCGCCGCGATAACAAGATTCGCCAGACTCGCCACGCACTTCGTTTCTTTAGATGTCGGTGACGATACTAAAGTTTTTGACACAACGTTCAAACTACTACAGTACTAGAACGAAAATGATGGACGGTCAGCTCAGTCACGAATAGGACTCCGAGCTTTCGGGTTTATTTTCCTTCGATTCCTGGGTTGTCTTTTATCGGGGTTTCATTCATTTCCTTCGGTTTGGTGACTTGAAGGGCATATTTTTGACGTTGGAATAAAGTCAAAGTTTGCCTCTCTCAGAGGATATGGGTCACGGCAATGCAATTTCCTAACCTCTGGGAAACAAACGCGTGACAACCGAATGCTTTCAAAACGTCCTGATACTAATATGATACTGAAGCAAAACAAAATCAATAAAAAATGTTATGTTGTTCACCGCTCACGGCACGCTAGGTTCTGGACCATCGAAAATATACCTGTAGATAGTGTTGGTGGTATGACAAGTAACGGCGTTACCAGTAACACGTTACTTTTTCGGTAACGTAGTAACGTACTTCTTACATTTCCAAAAAAGTTACGGGCAACCTACTTACGTTACTTACTTCGAGTGAAGTGTAACGCAGTTAAGTTACTCGTTACGTATTCTTCCCAAGACTTAGACAAATCACACTTTAATTGTTCGTATCTTTGGCATCGAGCTATATAAATTTTTGAGTTTGTTGCGTGACTATTTAAGTGGAACCATAAAATAATAAGGTAATTATGTTCAGTTCCTGGATAGCCATAATGTTTTCTTCTTTTTTTTTAATATGTCCCTTACGCATACCTGCAACACAAAAAAATGTAAAACCTGTTAATTCATAATTTAGAAAATTAACGCAAAAGTAACCCGCGTTAGTTATTGACGGTAACGATAACGGTAGCGCGTTCCTTTTATTTTGAGGTAACGTAGGTCGGTAACGCGTTTATTTATTTTGCAGGTAACGAGTAAAGCATTCCATTACTCTTTTTTCTGTGATGCCTACAACACTGCCTGTAGATAAATACCCGTCCACGCTAAGCATAAAAACTCTCTTTTTTTCATAGGCAGCTCTTAATTTCTTTTTTTTTTTTTTTTTCTATCCCTGATTACGAGGAAACTGGCTCGGAGGTTACTTTCGGAACTTTTTCGGTACATATTCCAAAAATGTAACCTTATTAATTGGTGATCACCTGATGAAAAGTAACGTAGTTTGCCTATTACCGCTTAACGTAGATTCGTTCAATCTGTCGCGTTTTTGTTTTATTTTTCTCGCAGGAAAAAGACGTCCGGATAATTTTGGGAAACTTCGACGAATACTGGGCCCGGAAGGTGTTTTGTCAGGTGAGTTTTATTTGAATCATGCTTTGCCGAAACCCTCAATAAATATTGCAAACGAAAGAGTTATAGGCAATGTCCGAGTTTACTCGATGAAATTACTTAACGTCGAACAGCCCATATATTGTTTACCAGGGCGTAGGGAAGATAGAAGTGTCAACTAGGAACTTATAATTAATATTCTTCGTCTTTAACCCTAAGTACTTGCTAAGATACAAGGACTAGAATAAAAGTTGCCGTGGTCCCCTACATTCGTGGAATTACCCATAAATTAAAAAGATCGAAGGAACACGAGGTATTCAAGTTGTATGTTCACCACGAACAAAGCCTACTCTATGTGCCACAAAGTCAACCAAGCAATTGCTTAAAGGAAAACATGCAACACGAACCATAGAACACAATACGCCCCGACGGCCCGTGCAAAAAAGGGTTGTACATTATATTACCTTATCCTACGTGAAATCCCACATTGGCCAGACGGGCCGCTGCGTTAATAACAGAGCACGAGAAAACGCAGCATCGGTGAAGACCATAGCAGCAGGGCAATGATCGGCTCATTGCCGTGCGTGTAAATGCAAACCGGCACTCGACAACATATCAATGATTGCACGAGACAAGAATCCGTATGCACGCGAAATACTCGAGGCACTGGCGATAGAAAACAAAAATCAGAAAAGTGTGTTAGCAGCACCTCGATTGCCGCTCCAAGACACAGAAGAAAAAATATATGCGGTGCTTCGAGACTCCGTGAACTGTGTGGTGTATGTACGGGTGAATTACCTTTGACTTTTAACTTGTTTGCAATATTGTGGTTTGTGTGAAATATCTCTCAAGAAGTACTTGGGTTAAGGGCGAAGAAGAGGAGGTACTTAGGGTTGACGGCGAAGAAGAGGAATTATAGTCTAGCTGCTAGTCGGCCGTGTGTTTGTCTCTTTCTATCCCTCGTCTACCAGCTAACATCTACCAGCTAGCTCAGTTTGATACTCCAATATAGAGCAGAGTGTGGGAAGCGCTGGGAAGTCGTCAAACGTGAAAACAGTGCAAAAAATTGAACAAATGACAAGTGAAAGAAGTGCACGGACAAAGCGCTGACTTTCAACTAAAGTTTAATTTTTAGAGGAATTATTAAACTAAACATTAAACTTTAGTTGACAGTCAGCGCTTTGTCCGTGCACTTCTTTCACTTGTCCTTTGTTCAATTTTTTGCGCTGTTTTCACGTTTGACGATGTTAAACCAACTAGCCCAACTTACCGGCTTGTTGCGCTGGAAAGCACTGGCTTCAAGGGGAAGGAAAAGCGAGAAGGGGGGGAGGGGGGGTGGAGCTGCGCCCGCCTCCCTTTCTAAACCCTAGGTAAGGTTTTTTTCTTTTTTTTTTTAAGAAACGAACGATCTACACCAGTTTCTTTTTAAGAATAAATTTTTAGTTTTTGGTGTTATGGCAAATATTAACGCAATCGTTTGACAAAACAAGGCTTATTCCGAGAGAAATTTTTGTTTAACGCTCATTACCTTAAAAACTCGCCTCTCGTCTTGTGCATAAGTGACTAGAATGCATTACCGGAGTCCCTTGTAATATCATTGATCATTCCTTATTTATAACAGCGCTCACTCAGCAGGCGTTTTCTAATAAAAATGTTGCAAAGAATTGTTTCATATGACTGCACTGTTTTGTTGTGTGATACCTTTTGATAAACCTTTTTTTTTTTTTGTCTTAATGTGCTATATTTTACTCCCCTTATGTAATGCCCCTCGGGGCCTTCAAGGTATGATAAATGAAATGAAATGAGGTGAGTCTCTTCAGGGCCCATCCTTTGCAATATGCCAAATCAAAAGTTTTAACCTTGCGGCTTGCCCAAGTTTACGCCAGTCCCAATCTGACATTATTTGCTCTTTCTTTTTTTTTTTTTTTTTTTTTTTTATTTATGTTCATATTTTTACTTTGGTTACACCGATTTTGGATTGGAGGCAGCATAAACGCGGTAGAAACTAAAGGGGTATTCACACGGGGGAGTCATTCCTCCCCTTGCTCCCCGGGATCCGTGTCACGTGGTAACAACGTCACGCTTTTGCGCGGAGCCGCGGCGACGTAGACATCCCAGGCGGATGGGGGAGCTGACTCGGGCTGCACAAACGCTCCCACCTTGGCGTGGAATTTCTTCGTAAATGGCTGCAATTTACTCGCGTGTCTCGCAACATTATAGATTTTGCTCAGCGAGATGCCGGCGGGGGCATTGGGATCGCCTAACTTGTTGTGGCTTGCGCTGTTGCGTATGTCGTCCGCAACACTTGAAGGAGTCTTCAATACCCATCAATGCCGTCCTCAAGCCGCTCTTCATACACCTGGTTTTTTTATGCCCCATGCTTTTTGTTGCATCCACCCATTCAAGATGCCTATTTTTTTTTATTTTTTTTTTTTTAAGCAGGAAGCAGAATGTCGTCTTCTGCATCTAACAGCGTGCTGCCGCATTCGCGTATTGCCATTTCATTTAAGCCTTCATTTTTTCCTACTCTCGTCAGCAATCACCGAGCCCTGTTGTCGAGAGTGCGACCGCTAAATGCGTCTGATATAACACTGACATCCCTCTCGGCTCCCCGCCGTTCGTGTCAATGCTTCAGTCGGGGAGGAAGTTCCGTTGGTTCCGCCGATCACTGACGTCCCTCCCCGAAAAGCAGCCCTCGGGGGAATGCCCCTTTACGAAACATTCAGTTTGGTTTAGTTGCCGGCTACCGAAAATACGCGGTGAGAGTTTTGTTTATTGCATTGTAGGTACTGTGTTGTCGTTTTCTTTAAACATAACTCACGGCAGCGATACTTCTGTAGAGTCACGCGCATTGAATGCTTTCAACTGCTTTTCTTTTTTTTTATATATATATGTGTAATATTGTCCGCGTGAGAACAAAACACCGTGCAAAATCTCGTCCGAGCTGTTAAATTTTCTTGCAGTGAATTTTTTTGGCGCACAGTACTTCTTCCTACGGACTCGACGATCGACCAATCACGGCGTTGCCTGTTATATGGCTAAGTTTTGAATTTCGCTCGAACGTCGTTTCTTCGTCCTAGCAGGGGTCGTGCATGACATCGCAGTCACTTTCCCCGAAATGCTTACTCCGGTGCATTATGGTTGGCGACTTTTAACTAGCACCTCAAAATACCCGTTCAGTCGTACATTTTGCCCGGCTGTAGCAACGTGACCTATACTTCTTTTCGTCGTATGTCTGAGAGCAGTCGAAGGCACGAACGCACACAACCACGAAAGGACACAATAATAGCGCTGTTACACTGGCTACACAAAAGACACCGTGTTCACTGCAGACATAATGACATAATTATCTTCGGGAACGGAGCGTTCGACGCACGTTTGCTGCATACACGCTTCTAACACGTCTGCAGACAGTTTTTGTATGACCAATCATAACAATAAAAATAGTCTGTGTGACCCAGTTCGGCTGATCATCAAGAGCATGACCAGCTGACGGAGCATTCGTGTGAGTATATTTGGACTCGAGTACGCGCCGAATGGTGAAGCAGAAATTCAGGTCCAATGCATGCTCAAAGTACACCGCGGGACACAGTTTTGCGCGAACACGAGCTTGGTGCTTTTTAGTGTCTTACATATAGTCAAGTATTGACCAGCCTCAAATTTGCACCGCTTAAGTTCGGCTTTGAATGAATACCTTCCGCCACAGCGGTAGTTTTCATGCCAGCTTCTCAATTCTGAGCGTCAGGAAAAACCACCGACCTCTTACCGACCTTTCCCAGGGTGACACCTTTTTCGCATGTACACGCGAAAAAGATGGCACCCTCGAAACAAAAGTAGGTTGAGGGGGCGCAGTTTTGGAAAAGGGTATTTTGACTAGTATGCTCGACTGTACACGGCGTTCACACAGAGGGTAATTCGCCGGTGCCGCGTTGCAGGCCTTCAAGATGGGCATGTACGGGCGCAAGTACCAGTGGATCATCGTGGCCATGTATCGGGAGCGCTGGTGGGAGGCGCCCCAGGCGGACGTGAGTTGCCAGCCCTCGCAGATGACCGAGGCCATCGAGGGCTACATCGGCACCGACCTCCTGCCGCTCAGCACCAGCGAGAATATCACCGTCTCGGGACTCGTGAGTGTCTCCCTCGCAAACAACGTTAGAGGAACCCTTTGTGTGGCACCTGGAGCGTGTCTCCAACCGGCGTGTTTACCGCGTCCTAGAAAATGGCCCATCGATTTCCGCCTGATGACGTCATAGAAGTGTCACGCTGTCGCCGGCCGCGATCCTGGCGGTGTTACAGCAGCGCTGTTGGACCAGAAACACGCCAGTTCTGCCGCAGGGCATTCTCCAGATTGACAGTTCACACAACCTTCGGCAGCAAGGAGTCGCGACGCTATGACGAGAGCGACACTCGCGTTCGCTCGTGCTTTTCGCCAGAATTTCTTCGACCAACCGCCCAGATTGCGACCTCGTACAGCATGACAGGTCATTGACGTCATATGTCGCCACTTGGGGAACGCTTTTGATGTACGCGCAGGACAGAACGCCACTAGACAACGCGTTCCAGGCATCGTACCTTTGGGGTCCGTCCGACCAAAAAACATTTTGAAAGGACTTTCCACGTTTTTTGTTACGGCGAAAGTCGTTATGGGCGAGGTATCGCAGAGAATTGTCGGGTATGTTACTGTGTACTTCGAAACTCTCTAAATTGAGCGGAAACATTTAACGGTAAACTTTCTTCGTGAAATTTGCCGGAGACCCGCAGTTCCACGTGACGTCACGGTTTCCTGTGACGAAACGTCATGACACCACGTTATGCGACGTCAGAGTGTTGCAAAGTTGCGTGACATAACGTCACGGGACGTCACCAATTCCCTTCCGAATTTACTGGGAACATTTATCCGCTAAATTTAGCGGCAGTTTAGTGTCACTTGACGTCATAGTGTCGCGTGACTAGGTCGTGTAACTCTACAGTGTCACCTTACGTCAGTGTCACATGAAAATCCTTCACTAAATTTAGCGCGACGTAAGGCCGCGGAATTAAAACACGGCAGTGCAACTGTGTGCTCAGTGGAGTGCGCAGCTCCTCAGCTATGACCGCGATTCATCTGCAGAGCACCGCAAGGAACCGCTCAATCTAACGTCAGGTGACTCGACGTCAGGTGACTTGAAGTCACCTGACGTTAATATACCCTTTACATTTTGCGGAGAAATTGACATGTGGCCACGTGTTGTGACCTGGTCGTGTGATGTCAATCTCCTCGGTCAAGTTAGCGGGCAAACGATGTCACGTGATCGCATTGTGTGACCTGAAGACACATAACATAAATTTCTCCGCGAAATTTAGCGGGCAAATTAATGCGGCCACATCATGTGACGTGATGTAACGTAACGATAGTTCCTTCGGTGGGTCCTGCGGGTATTAATCTTCAACAGACGAAACCTTCGCTAAAAGAAAGAGGCTTGCTCGGTGTAACGAGGCCAGGGCATAACTGAGTCACAGCTTGGCAGCCGCAGACCGAGAGCTCTCGACTCTCAAATGTTTTGTTCAAATCCCACTTTCAACGGTTGTAATGTAGGTGTTCGTTGTACAGGACGGTAATACGTGTCATCCTACTCGCGCGTCAACATTAAATAAAGCGACCAAACTTCGATAGATCAGGCTCATTCTCGTCAGTTTATTATTTCAAAATCGGTCAGCACATCTAAAGAAAACGAATGTTTTAGGATAGAGAGGAAAATAACCAATTATAAGGAGTTCGGATGGTTCAAACCACTGGAGGAACAACGCTTCAGCAGAGCCGCATAGTCCCCTAGTGGAGGCAGAGTGAAGTAATTTCGAGCCTGATACAATGTTTCCCGCATACGACCGGCAAACATAAGATATTACTTGTGAAGAGACAAGTCTCACACCGAGCTGAATTCACTATTCAGAGCAGATGCTGGCTGTAGTCGAGGCTTTTGAATCGTTGTTTGGCGTGGTTCCCCATTGTTTTAGATTGGTTTAGAGATGTTTACAGCAGAGGGTTTTCAGCTGCCAAGAGTTACCCTAAACACTGCCAACGCTAAAATTATGAAGTCGCGGTATTATGCACCGATCCCTCGCTGCTTTTCGATGTTCAGGGCACTCGTGCAAAGTCATTCAAGCTTTGCATTCGACCAATGACGCACGATAGGAAGTAAGTCTAGCTGGTTTTGCAGAGCTCTTGTATATGAACTGCGCATAGAAAACAACACACACACACAAAAGACCAGGACCGAGGTTTACATACACCAAGCTCCGTCTGTACGCACCTCGTTCCAGGTCCGTTCTGTTTCTTGATGCTGATGATATATCAGGACGTTCCTTCGTTGGCGCATTAGCAATCCCTCTAAACGTTCAGGGCCCTCTACTGTTTACAAGGAGTACCGCAAGGTACTGTTCTGGGCCCACTACTGTTTAATGTATACGTGAATAATAATGTTTGGGTAAAACTAACGAGCAAATTATTCCAGTTCGCCGGTGATACACTAATAATAGTCCATGCCCACAAAAATTATGAATTCGCCGTTCGAGAAGTAGAAGAAGACATTCACAATATGTTTTCAGTGATACTGTAAAAATCAGATTATCGTAAATACCACCAAAACTCAAAGAATCTGCTTTAGAGGCCCTAGAAAAATACCGTTAGATGAATTACGCATTAAAATGCAGGATAAAACTTCTTCATGCCTAGCAATCGAATATATCAAAGATGCAAAATACATTTTAATGTATATCGATAAACATCTTAAATGGGACTTTCACATAGGGCAAGTGTGCATAACCTTAAGGACGTTGGTGGCCTATATGTTTCACATTCAAGATTTATAACTCATTAGGAAAATCTCTAATGCATTATGTTATAGCTGCTTATGGGCACTGTGCCAAATACCTCCAAATATAAGTTGAAACTCTCCAAAACGCGATATTCAGAGTAGTGGGTTGCCAAATAAAAAAAAACGAAACGATTTAAAAGAATATATACATAAAGAACTAGGCGTAGTTTACTTCAGTGATCAATTGGAATACGACATATTCGCAAAATACTTTTTTTAAGAAATTACCATACAATAGAAGTTGTTAAAGAAAGAACACCACGACCAAATGGGAAATATTTAGAGTAATTTATGATGACAATGTATGGAGAGTCTACAAGAAAATATTATGTGCCTAAACTTTTTAACGAACTACCTGAGGAGCTGATTGAGTGCAAAAATCCACATGCAATGAAAAATATAGCAAGAATATGAATGAATGAACAGAGGAAGAGAAAAAAAAAGTGAAAATTAACAAAAGCTTTTCTACATACGACCGTGACCAAAGTATGAATTTTACTGATTATTAAAACAACGCTTTGAGACATATTAGTAAGTAGCTGAGCGTGTACCTCATAGAGGTCCGTTCTACCTGTTATTGTGTATCTGTGTTTGAACCGCTTCTTTTCTTATAATTTCTTTGTTTGATTAAACATATAGAATGGGTTGAATCTTTAAAATTATTATGGTTGTTAATTACCTGCCGCGTCCCACGCGTCCCTACTCACAAAAACGTTATTGGCTTATCTGGGTAGGAAGTGAAATGCATGAAAAAGAAAAAAAAAATGTATTGTATTGTCTTGTATTGTTTTGTATACGGTGGAGAATTGATTGAGTTGGCTCAAAATGTGGTTTCCAAAAGAGAGCAGCGCGGAAAAAAACGAAGAACACGGACGGATCTCTGTGAACAGACGGAGTAAAGTATCGTCCTCTTGTTGTTGCTGTTGTTGTTGTTCTTATTGTTGTTGTTTGCGCTTTTTTCGGCACTGCTCACTTTTTTCTTCTATACGACTGTAAACACAACGAAAGGATAGGCGATAAAACAACGTGCGGGATTAGGGCAAAATGATAATCTAATTATAGTGACCATGAAACGCTACTAATAAAAGAACGTACAGCCGACACAAAATGGTAGAACATAACGAACGGCGAGCTCTTCCTGTGATAAGAGCACGTAAGCTCCCCTTTCAGGTCTCGTATTTTTATCCGGCATTGTTTCGTCAGGCAATCGCGTTCAACCAAAACACCTTCAGCCCAAGAACCCAACCAACATAAGTGATGTTCTTGTGCGCTCAGATGCAGGTAACGCCTTTCCGCGCCGGACACTGTACCCCGCTTAGCACCAAGCTGACAGTGCAGTGAAAGGTACTCGCTCACCGGATCAATCAACCTCCAGCCTTTCATCGCCTGACCCCTTTCTTAGCCCGTGTGTATGGCCAGGAGCGTGATCACGTGGAGAAACGTAAGCGTTCGAGTGTTCCAGCGAGGCCGTAGCTTCCCCACCGTACTGTCCGCTTAGTGCCGAACGGAGTTTAGGGTGTACGTCATTCCGGTAATAACCCGTGGAACAGATATCTTTTCTGAGTGGCGGAAAATCCTTCTCCATCTTCGGGGGATTAGCGCGGATAGGAAAGCGGTACGCGCGGCATTTGGGCCACGGAAAGCTGTCCGTTTGGCGGCGTTTCACAATGCGATGGACCGCATTGGACGCTACGAGCCGTAACAGCCAATCGAGCTCCGGGGATATTATCGCGCGAATAAGAAGTAAGAGCTTAAACGCTCGGTGAAAATCGACCGTACCTGCGAAGAACCCTGAGATTGAGGTGAGAGAACAAGAGCGCAAAAAATAAAAGCCGTTTACAATGATCTGTAATAGCAAATAGGAGCGCAACTCCTGAGGAAGAGGAGGGGAGGGTATGCCCCTACTCCCCCTCCATACACTCCTCTCCTGCTCCCCTCCCATTTAGCGGGAAATTTTCGCTAAATTTCCCGCTAAATTTAGCGAGAACTTTCCCGCTAAACTTAGATGGAAAACTGAATTGGTGTTGAGGTCACGTGACGTCCATTTTCCCGCTAAATTCAGCGGGGAAACTATGACGTTCTATAATGCAAAGGGCGCAGTTACGCCGACGCGGACGCCGCTCAACCCCGGAAACGGCACCTAAGAGCTGCGCTCTAAAACCTAGACTCCATAGTTACAGACAAGGTGTGAACGGCAGGGAAGAGCTTCATATTTTTTCAGAGCGGGCTTGCTACCTTCGATCTACCTTCGACCTTACGTAACTCGAGCACGT